TAGGTAATCACCATGAGTAACTTAATTTTGGTAAAGATAAAAATATCTGAAAATAGTTTTCAAAATGATCCATTGTGATGACTCTGACATTGAGGTCATACTTGAAGAGTCAATACCTTGTATTTCCTTAGCACAGTGGGGAAAGGTGCAAGCAAAATGACCCTTGTTAAATACTGATGTGCAAGTTGCTGTGCTAAGCACTTTATCTGTTATTTTACCTAATCACAATCCCAGCTACAAATTAGGTATTAGAGTGCCGTATTATTGGTGAAAAAAAAAACTGAGCTTCAGAGAAATTAAGGTACTTCGCGAAGTCATACAGCTATTTAGATGCAGTCAACTGTAGTGATGATGAGTACAGGATCTAGAGCCAGATGACTTACACTCACATTCTAACTTTACCCCATTAGTTGTAGGACCTCGGATAAGTTACTTCACTTCTCTGTGCCTGCTTCCTCTCACTTACAAATGGAGTTTACAATAGTATCTACCACAAAGGGTTATTTTGAAGAATTTTTTTAAAAAGATTTTATTTATTTATTTATTTGAGATAGAGTGAAAGCACATGCACGAGCAGGGGGAGAGGCAGAGAGCTAATCTTTATGCGGAGCCCCTCTGGGGGGCTTGACCTCCGGAATTGGAGATCAAGCCCTGAGTCGAAATCAAGAGTCAGTCGCTCAACCGACTGAGCCACCTAGGCGCCCCACAAAGGGTTATTTTGAAGATTAAATGAGTTATAGATTTGTACATGAAACCCTGAGAACCATGGAATTTATAAGCCCTATATAAAGGAATCCTATTAGCATTATTATTATTATCAGATCCCTCACTCACGTCTTCCTTTAAAATAACACCTAAACAAACAAATAATGAAAAACAGACACTAAATGAAAATGAGGAATGAAGATAAAAATAGCAATTGAGCCAAACAGCGCTCTCTAAGCTTCTTGAGAAGGAGACAAAGAAGGAGACATGGCAGGCCCCATGTCTCTTCATTTCTAAATGCCCACAGTGCACTAATGCATCAGGAAAAGCATTCTCAAATGCTTAGAAATGCAAGGATCTGTATTGAGCAAAGTAACAAAACATGTCCTCGAATGTGATTTAACAAAACTGAAGAGGTTTCTTCATGTGGTTTGCTCTTGGTGAAATCTGAGGGATTTCATTCAATAAAAGTTGCTGAATTTGGATGAGGCACAGGGTCATCGGTATCTGAGGGGTTTCATTCAATAAAAGCTGCTGAATTTGGACAAGGCATAGGGTCATAGGTCCGTATTCTGCAGCTTTTAGGTGCCTGGCCACATTCATGGGAAAGCTTGGAGAAGCTCGAGCATTTTAAGGGACTGTATAGCATAGAGCAACCTTCACAGATGAAGTGTTTCTGACAGCAGCGGAATAAAAATTCAGGTTTGAAGTCTTGTATGAGGATGGAGAAAAGCGAATGAAAAAAAAAAAAAACCCTGCTCATTATAGCACCACGGTAAGAATTAAATCTCAATAGCCACGATCTGTGGATAAGACTGACAAAGCAGGCATGGAGGTAGCTGATGCTGATCTTGCTGCACAGCCTGGACTCCCCACAGCGTGGGGATCTCTACAGCTGAGACAAGCCTCCTCACCTGAAACTTAAAAAAAAAAAAATGGACATGGGGAGCACCACCTGGAAGGCAGCCCACGTTTGGGAATTTTGTGGATTAAGGAAAACCTTTTCTCAGGGAAAAGCCTCTTCTCTTCAGTCATATCTGTTTGGCCTGTCTGGGCAGCTGGGGGTGCTGCAAACACCTCAGGGAGGAGATTTGGACTTTAGGAGCCATGAGAGCCCGGATTGTTTTCTCATCGCTGTATTGACAGTGACTTGCACAGTGTCGGGGCTTAATAAACAGTTACTGGGTGAATCTGTAAATTAGCAAATGAAACCCAGGAAAGCTGATCGCCAGTAGCACTTGGTAGACAAACACAGGAATGATAAGCGAGGGATAGTAACTCAAATATCCATCATGGCTATAGAAGTTAGAAGTGTGTATATGTAACTTTGCATTTCCCAAAATCATCCAGGCAAGCAGGAAGTTAAAGGGGAAAACGTGCAAAGATAGAATTTTCATAAATAAGGTACTGGATACATAGGTTAAATACAGCCCATGTAATAGGATATTAGACTATGGAACTCTATTGTTCAAATAAGAAAATGCACATGCTATATTGTTAAACAAAAAAGTAGTTTGCAACAGTAGACTAAGTATGACTTCAAATTTGAAAATTGCAAAACATTTTCTGCGTATTTTACTTATAAAAGATTCCAGAAATGTTAAACGGTGCTTATTTCTGGATAGTGAGATTGCCAATTACCCTCTTTTTAACATTGTTCTTTGCCTAACGAAGCTCCCCTCCCTTGTACTCCATTTCTAATCAAAAGAGTAATAAAGCGATTTAAAGATAAAAATAAATCACTCTCTTGCTGTGGCCAAATGGTCTGTCTCTTGTTCTACTCCTGCCTAGGGAATCTTTAGGAAGTTTATTACACCCTATTACACCCAGTTCCCTTACTTGGAAAATAGAAATACTAATACTGATATGTGACCTTTCAAGTTTACAAGGCAGATGTGTGGATGAAATGGGATAATGCATAAGAAAGCATTTTGCAAATTACAAAATACCTCATATATATAACATTGCAGATGGGGATAGGCATTGAGATGAGGAGGAAAAGTGGGAGTGTGAGGAGTAAGGGAAGAGGTCCCTGGGTGGCTTAGTCAGTAGGCTTCCGACTCTTCACTTTGGCTCAGATCATGATCTCAGGGTCCTGAGACTGAGCCCTGCATCAGGCTCTGCCCTGAGCGCGGAGGCTGCTTGAGATCTCTCTCACCTTCTGCCCCTCCCCCTGCTTGTGCACACTCTCAAAAAAAAGGAAGATGAGAGGTAGGAGCAAATGAGGGTGGCCAGTGGTAATATCTGGAGACGTCATTAGAATGATTCTCTTACTCTCTTACAGGAACTGTAAACTTTTGCATTATAGAATTGTGGAAATTGTAAAGTATTAGATCCAAGACACTTTCATTCCTGCCAAAGTTATGCAAGAATGGCATGTGAGGCACTGTAAGAATTAGGCTGGGTCTTTGGCTGTTGTTTCTTTGTGCAGAGGATTGCAGGAAAAGAAAATACATTCCCTCGCCTTCCACCACCCTCCACACACACTCTGAGCTTATGTGAGTTCTGGATACGGGGTTGTGGTTGAACCGATTAATATTCTTCAATTAACTTCTTAAATTAAGTCCTGGCTAAAAAGAAAATAAAAATAAAAACAAAGCACAGCTTACCATAACAACTTCATTCCAAATCCTTAACATCTTCTGTGTCCTCCGTTTCCCATCAGCTTCTCTTATTGAGCCTCAGTGTCTTAGTTGAATAAGGAGCGTCCCCTAAATCACCCCATAAGTCCTTTTGAGCAGTCAAGTTCTATGACTGTGACTCCAGTGTTGTATAATTATGGTCTTCCCTTTCTACACATCTGTAAAATCGGAAATTGGATTGAAATGATCACTTTTCCAGTGACACAGACGTTCCACCAGCTGCTACCTTGATAAATCTTGCTCACTGTTTGCTGCTTTGGCTGACACGTTATAATATAATGCAGTTACTCTATTTTACCTTGGGGAAGTTTTTTAAACTTCATGAGTTTCAGTTTCTTCCCTTGTAATCTGGGATTAAAAGGAGTACCTGCTTTGGGTCATTGTGGAGTTCTATGAGATTCTCTACATAGAATGGGTAGGGCAGGGTCCAGCACAACCTACACGTACAATCTAAATTAGATGGGATCCTTGACCTGACAACTTTTGAATTTTTTACCTGAATTTTTCTGTAAGCTTAGCACACAAGCTATGAGAAGACTATCATCGAGAGATAGAGTTTGACTCCGAGACCCATTTCTTGATGCAAAACTCTGTCTATGGAACCACATCCCACACAATCTAAAGAGTACCATGTTCTTCCATTAAATCTCAAGTAGCTAAAAAGGTTATTATTCTCGAACCTAGCTTTGGCTGCACTGGAACACATGAAAGCTAAATTCCCATGAAAGCTGCAAACTAAATAAAATAAACCCAAATTAATGTATTGTATTTTTACAAAAGGATAAATAGAGCATTTTATTAACACTTTTTTTTTTTGCAGCAACAAAATGATAGCCCACATCTTTTCATTCAACAAAACAAAAGCTATGATCACATTACATCACTTTGAGACACAAAGCAAAGGATGTTTTTATTTTCTTAAGGTCAAGAATGGTTTGCATCTTTAAAACAAATGTTATGTTTTCTATTTGCAGTAGCAGGGCTTCCAGTCACTAGCACAATACAATGAACAGATCAAATATCCAGAATAGACAATTAAATACACCAATGATATTTTGCATTGAATTGGGAAATGCATTATTATCGTTTAGAACATTCTAAAGAGATCTGATGTTAACTTTTTAAAAGAAAAAAAAATCATTCCAACCACCCAGACAGCTACCACAGCAAAATGAAGATAATATACAGACAGGAAATTGTATGCATTGCACTTATTGCTTGGAACACAAATGTTGCAATTCCTGTTGAGTTATATTAAGAAATGACAAGCAAAATGCCTCTGCCCCATCTAAAATTCTATGACTCTATGAAAGTAGAAATTGCAGTCCCCTAACCCAACATTAGGTGTATGCTATTTTTGGCTTTTTTGTGAAGATTGTTTATTATGTTTTTGTGTATGGATATGTATAAGATATACAGATATATATATATAGATATAATTTTAATATAATTTATTGTCCTATATATTTAAGACAAATATCTTTTAAATGGGACTTTAAATAATAAAATCGTCTACTTACAATATCTCTATTAAGTTTATCTTTTCATATTATATATAGCTCTGTGGCACAAGTTTCATATAGTATTTCATTATTAAGGAAGAATATCTAAACCATTTTCTATTTCTTTTGTTGTTAATATTGCATTTTCAGGGCTAAATCTCCATAGTAAATTTCTTATTAGATTCTTTATGGTGTATGCATTTTTTTTCTAATGCAAGTTACAACCAGTACAAAGTTGTAATAAAAAATACATTAAAGTCTATTTATTTTTTATATTTTTTGCAAAAAAGTTAAGTGATATGCTACATGAAAAGTCAGATTTCTGTTGAAACGTGAAGTGTTTTATACTGTTAGGTAAATGAATGGAAGAACATGAAGCATACCCCTCACTTTACAAGTTCTCTTTCACAGATATAAGTATATGTGCGCAAGCATTTCATATAAAACACTGCAAGATATTTCTTTTCAGAACCTACAAAATATTCCACATTATGTAATAACAATAATTATTTAGTACACCTTGCTAGTTGCTAGCCCACAATATTCTTCTCTAATTGAGAGATATAACAACTCCATAATTTATATTCAATAAACGTTGCCACCACCTGATGCAGCCAACATGACATCTTCGGGTTTCTTAACAGGACTTCTGCATGATATCTTGCAATGCAGTGTAACAAATATATAAGTGCATTTTGCATGATCAAGTAGCTTTGGCTTCCTAACCTTTGTAGGATGGGATGTGCCAACTGTTGTAGTTGTGCTTTATTAAATGGTGATGAGTTTTAGCTCACGTGAATCCAATGAGTAACTACTCGCTTCTACAATTTTGACCAGTCAACGTTTAAATCACAAACGCAAAAATGGATGACCTGAATGGAAATGATGGCATTTCACAACTTCTACAGATTGCACTTGATGGTAACTTCATGAGTTTGTTTGTGATTCATTTTTTACAGCAAGACTTGCCTGGTTGATATGTTTATGTGTGTACACCACTTTTTTTTTTTAATTTTTGGGCAATCACAATTAATTTAATCACAAACACTAAAAATAAATCCAGCAATTAGCTTTGTTATGAATAATCATCTCGGTCCTTATAGGTGTATGAGTCTTGTACTTCTTCTTGTACAAATTCCTCTTTCTTTTCCCAACCATTGGGCCAACCTCCATTAGCCTGTGTTGTGGCACCATAAGACTTGGTGGTACCATAATTTATATAATTTTGAGTAATGTCCCCTGTTTCTTCATCGAGCTCATCTTCATGGATAAATCCACATTTTTCTTCACTTGTTTCCTCAGGGTCTGCCCAGGGTTGCTTCTCTCCTGAGGCAAATATTGCATAAAATATAACTCCGCCATAGTGGACCAGCGCAGCGATCAGGAAAACATACTGCCACTCTTCACGTGACTGCAGTGACAAAAAAGCAGCGCTGTGAGAACAGACTCCCCATGTTTGAAAAGCATAACCTCTTCTTTGAATGAGCCACCATCACGCTTTTCATACAACACTATCTTTAGGGGAAAGCCCTGTTCTGATTACATAAAGCAAATACTGTGATGGAAACTTTCGATAATCCTATGACTTTCATTAATTAAATTTTTTTATAAATCTCAGGTTCTGAAATAAAACTCCAAATATATCTGTGGTCTGTTAATTTTTAAAATACCCATAATCTCTCTTTGAATTTCCATTGATTTACGTATATTTTTTCCTCCTACTTCTTTTGTTTATTTCCTTTTGGTGAAAAATAATTGTGAAGTTCTACACTTAAGGACAAATAGCTGATAATAATATTCTTCCATTGATAACTGCAGAGTCTGAATTGATGTTTCCAAATAAAGTTCAGAAGACTTCTACTTGAGTACTCTAAGAAGCTAAGAGAAAAAAAGGTTTGCTGTTGTTGTTTTGCCACGCCAGAAATATGAGAAATATTAAAAGGTGTTGAAAAGCACAGTGCTTATTGGTTGGGAAAGAAGAATTCCTCAGAGCTCTTAGAGATTTTCTAGTGAGCCTCAATTATCTCCCTTACTCAGAGGTCTGGTGGCTAGACCACAGAGAGAATGCCAAACAGGATACAGTAATTCTTCTCTACCATGAGAAAGAATCTTCAAAAACTGAACATTTCTTTAGCTACGTCTTACCTTATTCTTTGTCATTGCACCAACAATGATAGGGCAAACCATTCCTGACAATGTGCCAACACCATTTGAAATGCCCATTAAGATACTGGCATATCTCGGAGCAATATCCAAGTGATTAACATTGAAACCTGAAATATACACATCAGCTTAGAGTCAGAGGATCCTAAACCCCTTGGAAGTGGGTGGCTGTAGAATATTCTCTACCACACTCACCACCCTCCTGAGAAGATACCAGGTATAGTGCATGTGCTCAATAAGTATTTTTTGATAACTTAGCTCAAGGATATGATCAGAGTGGAATGAAGTATGGGTTCTTATCCACTACTTAATATGTGATACTCAAATCACAGAGAAATGTTCTCTTAAAAAAAAAAAAAAGAAGAGTAAGCAGGAGGAGAATGAGAAGTGACAAACCCAAATAATGACTTCTAAATGTGTTATTCTTTTTACTTTCTAGTGGAAATATGTTAAGTAACTTTTCAACAATAGAATATTAAAGAGGAAAGGAGAATATATTTATTATTACCGGCAAAAATCAGGACGTTACGTTTATAAATTTAAAAACATGATCTTACCAGAAATAGCAAATCCACTGAATCCCACTGCAAGTACCAAGAATGAGATAGCCACCCCTCTAGTATGAGAATAGCCAACGACCAGAAGCAGTGTTGCTTCCATGCCAAAACCTTTGGAAACAGACACATGGAAACGCTTCAGAAATTTGTGTAAATTTTCCCAATGAGCCAAAACTGCTAGAACTGCTCATGCTTATCTGACCTAAGAAACCTCTTCAGGGAGTCTATCTTAAAAGGGGCAGCTGGGTGGCTCAGCCAGTTGAGCCTCAGAACCTTGATATCAGCTCAGGTCATGATCTCAGAGTGGTGAAATCAAGCCCCAGGTAGCCTGGCGCTCCGTCCTCAGCAGGAAGTCTGCTTGAGATTCTCTCTCTCACCCTGACCCTACCCCACCGTCTCTCTCAAATAAATAAAAATATTTAAAAAATAATAATAACAGTTATAATTTATGCACAGAGATTACTGAAGGCTTCCATTTTAATAAAAATATTGAATATGCCCTTAAGTGTCAGTGGTGGGCAGGGACGAGTTAGTTATGTAGTTATTTAAAACTAGGAGTTATGAGGGGCACCTGGGTGGCTCAGTCATTAAGCGTCTGTCTTCAGCTCAGGTCATGATCTCAGGGTCCTGGATCAAGCCCTGCATTGGCCTCCCTGCTCAACAGGGATCCTGCTTCTCCCTCTTCTGCTCTCCTTGCTTGTGTCCCCTCTCCCACTGTCTCTGTCTCTCAGTCAAATAAATAAATAAAATCTTAAAAAAAAAACTAGGAGTTAAGAAAATTTGAAGATAGGGAAATGATTATAAATGAACAATGAAGACACAAATTTAGCTGCATATTTAACATACACAGTAAAATTTACTCACTCATGTATATCAGCATTTCATGAGCCAAAATCACGTCCTTCACATCACTTATGTACTTACCACCACAATTCATGATCTTTCTTACTGTAGTAGTTGAAAGAATTTGCTTGCTTCTTAGAAAATCTGCAATCTGCCCTCCAATGGGCACAATAATTGTCATTACTAAGTGTGGTACAGCAGATAGCATGCCAACCTGAAGAAAAAGAAAAAGAGGAAACATATACATGACCATAAGTAATATGGGCAATGGTCTTGGTTTTTTGAATCCATCATAAATTTTTTATGGGAAAAGAAAGAAAAAAAATACTGTCTCCAAATGACCACTTACTCCTTCCTGGAATAAGCAATAACTTCCACAGAATAAATGAGAAAAGCTAAGTAAATTTACTTTTTATCTGTTAGAAGTGAATACTTTTCTTTCCTGTGTAATGAGTCAGTAAATTTTGAGTTTATGAATAAACTATCCTGAATCTTATCACAGTGATTCACATTTATGTGCCCATTTTATATTCTTAAATATGTTTGCAAAAATTCATCATTAGTGAGTGAGAGAGAAACAGAGACAGAGTCAGAGGGATAAGAAATACATTTGACCAAGCCTTGAAGAGGCTCTATTTTTAAATTTATATTTTTTTAATTCTTAGGAAGGCTAAAAACCTTAATTGCATTTTAAATATGTATCTCTTATGAGTTTTATATTTAGTTTCTAAGCTAAATTTAGCCCAGAAAATGCAGATTGGTTCTTCAATGTTAGGTATTTTCTACTTCAAATGTCAGTATTTGGTCACATTGTCACACAATGGTATATAGTTTCTGTATTCATTTCATATGAAATAGCTCGACCTAAAATCTAACCTACCAGCATCAATTCAACACACATTTTTAGGCCAATAATTATGTGCAAGACACTCTTCTCTAGACATCATGAAGTATGAATAAAATGCATTTTTAAGTACTGGGGAAAAGTTTATTATTTGTGTATAAAAATGTCTTCCCAGTTAGATTATTGAAGGTTTGAGACAAAGATTGCTCGATGTCACAATGGCAGACTTGAGTACCACGCCCACGGAGTCGGGTTTTTACCATGATTGAGTCAGTGAATGACTCCTACAGAGATCAAACGTCTGAGTTATTTAATTCTCTCTCTTTTATCCAGGTGAAAGTTTATTATATTATTACTCTCTTGTATTGATGAAGAAAGTATAACTTAAAAAGGCTAAATCATTTCCAGAACCAAATATTGAGCCATTTTTACCTGAGTCTAAAAACTGGGCTTTTAACCACTATGCTTAGCACTGCCACCATCTGAGAAAGAAAAATAAATAAAACCAGATAATGTGCTGATTGTTCTTAATTTAGTTAAAAACCTGGCATTTAGTATAGGCTCACAAATGTGAACTAAGTAAAACTATAAGGTAAACTGACATTAAGGCAAACATTACTGCTTTTGAGAATAGCATCTTGAAAAGCAGAATGGTTCTTTATTCTTAACTACAATAGATATATTTAAAGCAACGAATGTGTGGAACGAAACCATCAGACAACAAAACATTCTGAAATACACTATGTTAGGATTTGTGTAGAATTGCATGTCGTGTGTTTGCTTTTAGAGGCAGAGAAAGCCGGAGAGTGATCTGCATTTCCTAAGTCCACATAACTGGCCTGCATCTTGACTCAGTGTTTGAGACATCTGAAAAGTTCTTAAATTGAACACCCTTTGCTATTTATTATCTACTCAAACAGACATTTTAATTCCTTTGGGTAAACGAAGAATAAAGTTATGATTATTAGCTATTCTCTTTCAGCAAAGCCCTATGGGAAGTGCAAGGAGGTAACAATCTAGAGGTTAATGAGACAGAAGTTGGGAATATCCTAGCCCAATGTCTTAATACTTGGAGGTATTCAATCTCCCAGTTCCTAGGACAATATGTGGACATATTCCATACATGACCTCATCAGGGCCAAGTTGCAGAACTTTATGAAAGTTATCCAACAATCTTCTCAGCTTTTGGTGACTTACCATAATCACTTGCAATCACGTGTGATCAGAATGCTCACAACTTTTGGGGCGTATCATTATTTATGATAATCACAAAGTACTTTGTTCATTATTTTAAGGTTTTACAAGAGTAGGCTAAGTGTTTTGAGTCTCTGACTGATTGATTCTTCATAGAAACTCTAGGTCATTAGACTTTGCGCACCCTCCTCTTTGCTCCTCTGGGTCACAGTCTGGATTTCCTCTCTCCCCACCTGTTTCATATTCTATTTAGAAATTGTCAGGCTATCACACAACAAAGAGTAGCCACTCAACACTTCTCTAAGTGCCCCTAAATGTAAAGCGCAAAAGGAATGAATGTCTCCTCTCATTTGGTTGTCTCTTGTAACGGGACCTCTCAAAGTGCTGGTTAATCCAAGCACTAGCCTTCCCTTGATAGTCATTTTCAAGAGGCTAAAAACGTTTCTATATAAGCATTATATATGATATATATGATATAATATATTAATATATTTATTATAATTTATATTATTTTTAATTTATATAAAATACTAAAATACAATTTATAGTATACATAAATATATATAAAAATATATATATATATATATATATATATATATACACACACATCTATATATATTTCTGCTTTAACTGGGTCAGTCTACCCGAAATGAAGATTGAGCTATTGCACTTGTGTTTTAGTCTGCAGCATACTCAATTTAACTAAGGTTGGAGAGAACTATCCTCCATTTAAATATTTTAGTTTGCTTACATTTTGCCACAGTTCTGAAGGACAGTATTAATACCATTATTTATGGAAAATAAAATCAAAGTTGGCAATCATTCAAAAACCAGCCCCAGGTTATGTATCAATAGTTTACTGCGGAGCTTGTGTTCCGAGCCCTGCCAACCTGGATCTAAAGCCCATGCTCTATTTCCTTTACTACCTCCTTTATACATTTTTCAAATAAGTCAGTGGCTTTTTTTTTTTTTTAACCAGTATAATCAAAGTCTTCAAGCCGATCTGTGTATGTAGAACTTATCTACAATTTTAGTTAAAAATATAACAAGTGAATCAAATCAACTCATCTGGTTATTATATTTAGTTTTGGCAAAATATTGCTTTTACTCAAGCATTTTCAATTAAGTGGAGCTACAAGGCCAGAATGACCACGCAGTTTCATGAACATCAGTTGGCTCCTTCACTTCTCCCCCATGAGACCTGACTGTATTAATAGCCTCTCGGTGTCATATTTGTCCTAGATTATGAAAATGGACTCACACCTCCAGCGGCCTTTGTTGAGAATGTATAACACCTCTCGGAGCTTCCAAAGGCTACCCTGCAATGTTTGATCAGCTCTAGAGAGAAGAGCCCTATCTAAAGCAGCCATTCTTCTCAGGAATGGAGGAAACAGTTTCCTTAGAAACAGGGATTACAAAAGAGCTCTTAGAATAGCTTCTCCTAAACTCAGGTTTTCTTCAATTCCAGGCCTCAGATAGTCTTTCAAGTAGAGACTTAATATGAATAGCGAGCCCAGCTGGATGGATGTAATGACATGAAGAGAAATGGCAAGTCCATGGCCAGCACAGACGAGTGTATTCCGTACTCAGCAAAGGGCTTGGCAGAGATTGTATTTAACAAATACTTGCTAAGTGCTTAAATGAAGATAGTGTCTACCTGAATTTGAATAGCGTAGTAAAGGGAATTGAAACATAAATTAAAGAATCGGGGCTTAACCTTGATTCTGGCATATATTATCAGCTTGGCCTTAGGCAATTTATATACCTTCCCTAGTTTGTTTCCCCATCAACAGAAATGATGAGAGTTATCCAGCTGGTCAACCAAACAAGTTTGTTCTTCATGAATATGAAAGGACCTTGTGAATTTCAGACTCTTCTATAAATATAGTTATTTTTATGTTCATTTTATCCTTATAGAAAAATCCCAAAATGATTACATTTTCACAGCTATGAACAAATGTCTGTAGGGTTTAGCATACTGTTGTGAAACTGGTAACTAATTGCTTTTGTTTATACCACCAAAAGCTGTGAACTCCTGAGGATGGGAACCATGTTTTTATTTCTGAATCTGACACAAAGCTTCACACATCATATTCAACAAATGCCTGTTAAGTGAATAAATTGAATAAAGGACACACAAGAATGTTTTCAGATTTTTTTTTGCTTTCTCAAGTATTTTAGCAAGACAGATTTTTTTTCAGTTTATAAGAAATTATTATTTTTTTTTACTTAAGTATAGTTAACACATAATGTTACATTAGTTTCAGGTGCACAACAAAGTGATTTGACAAATTTATATGTTACACTATGCTCACCATAAGTGTAGTTACCGTCTGTCACCATACAACATTATTACAGTATCATTAACTATATTCCCTATGCTGTGCCATTTAGTCCCATGACTTATTCATTCCATTACTGGAACCTTGCATCTCCCGTTCCCCTTCACCCATTTTGCCCATCCCTCATTTCCTGACCCACTGGTAACTACCAGTTTGTTCTATTTACAGTCTGATTCTGCTTTTCATTTGTTTATTCATTTGGGGTTTTTTTGGTTTTTTTTTTTTTAGATTCCACCTATGAGTGAAATCATATGGTATTTGTCTTTCTCAAAGTCTGATTTATTTAATCTAATATAATGCCTTCTAGGTCCATCTATGTTGTTGCATATGGCACAATCTCACACTTTCTATAGCTGTGTGATATTCCAGCATGTGTGTGTGTGTCCGTGTGTATTACATCTTCCTCATCCATTTGTCTATCAATCAGGACTACATTAAAATAAAAAGCTTTCACACAGACAAGATTACCAGACAGATTTTTGAAAGCATTGAAGAAGAGATTGATAATTACATAAACACAATTCTATTTCAATAAAATTTTTTTTCTTTGTTCACTGTTAAATTGTCTCTGATCTGAGACTTAAAGGAAGTTATGTTTCTTTACAGGGGAAAGGCTATGGTGCCGTCCACCCTAACTGAGACATAAGCTCCATGAGGGCAGAGACTAGGTTGATTTTTGCCTTCAAAAAGAGCACTTTCTAGCAGACAGCTGAATGCAGTAGACACTCAAACACCTTACTTAGTCTTTGTTTCCCAGAAGTTATTTGTTAAGTGGATAAACAAATAAATGAGTAACTCCTAAAATTTAGAAGATAAAATACTGGCAAAGGAACTTAATATTCAATTGAACACAAAAATAATGCACTAGTTAAACAAAGATAATTTTTACATACCTTGCTGATTTCAAATCCAAAGACTTCCTCAAAATATGCTGGCTGACTAATAAGCAGTAAGTAAAAAGTCCAGCTTCTGCAGAAGTTTGCGACAATTATTGCATAGACAGGCATAGATGTAAAAAATTTCCTCCATGGAGTCTTGAATTTCTGAAATCCCAAAAAGAGAGCAATTCTGACCATTTAAAATATTTTCTAACTTAGAAAATGGGAATAATAGGTGCTTTGCATTTTCAGGATGTATATGTTGAGGCATGAGTAGGAGGTAATGAAATCGATTGCAAAAGTCTAATTAACCTTAGCTGCATGAATAATTGTTGGAAGAAAAAAAAGATATTAGCTTCTTCTTCTGATTAAATTGTTCCCATTTTCGGAATATATAAGATCTTATGTTTATAGAAAACAATTCCAAAAGCACAGATCCTAGTTTCCAAGATTTTTTTTTTTTCTGGCAGTGATAGATCATGCCTCAGCTAAAGATTGTTGCCATATCAGTGACCTTGTTGGTATCCAAAATATTTTATCTAAAACATTGAAAATTCAATATAGTTAGGAGGAGAAAATAAGAAAAATTAAGAGTGCAATATTCTAGACCCTATTTAAAGTTAATAATACCACTACCTATCCATAAATCCTCTTGATAGACAATGGATATCAATATAAATTCTGTAATGCTAAAACGCAAGGTTCTAGAAAACTCACATGGTATACAGCTGGGTTGAAGTATTTGGCTATCCAGCACACCATGGGCACATCATAACTAGTTACTTATGACATTCAAGACATTCAAAATTAACCACCTAAATAGGATTGGTTTTGCTTATGATACCCATTTAAAAACTATATCTAGTGTACTTAAAGATCCTGTATATGCCCAAACATAAAGCAAGTATTCTCCCCCAAGACTAATATTTTTAGGCCTGAAAATGTCTCTCATATTCTCACTTTCTCAATGATTTTATTTTGAACGTCAAAATACTGTTTGGTGAAGAAACAATAGCCTGAAATAACTCCATTTAATGCTGGCTTGGGATCCTTAACCTGACCAAATTAATAAAAGGGGAGGCAGACATTTTTTACACAGATTTAGTTAATTACTCCTGGATGTAGAGCCTCATAATTGCTAGTATTGACTGTGACTCTAATTAAGCCTCTCGAGATCACTTTAAAAGTAATAGAGTAAGAAGTTATACTGTCGTGATCACAAATACATATGACAAAAAAGAAAAACAAAACAAAAACAAAAGCATGTCCTAATAACATATAATGAGTACTGTGGCTTTGAATACAAATATCCAGTGACAACATCCTAGCTGGGTTCAAAAAGTGTGTTTTTTAAGTCCTATATACTCGGGGAAAATACTGCCATATATAAATATATTTATATCACAGAAAATGAAAATTGTTGGATACAGGTATGTCAGCATTGTAGTATTATGTTTGTATAAGAAATAACTTCAGAATATTATTAAAAGTAAATACCTTTTTCCTGCTGGGAAAGTGTTTCTATTATTCATACCTATTATGCATCTCTACTAAGAACTTTATTCTTCAGGTTGTAAAACACTTCATCAAATGTAAGATAGAAGTATCTAATTTTATACCTTAAAAAATTATTCGGGGTGGTAGGAGGGCTTATAGTATTCTGATAACAGTCTACTTACTGTCCTGGCTGTTTTGCTTCACAGGTGTGTATGGTTTACAAAACTCAAGCAAGTTGTTCACTTATGATTTGTGTGTTTTTCTGTATACATGTTATATTTAATTTTTTAAGAAAAAAATATTTAAAAGGCATTACAGTCAGCTGAAATGTGTGCTCCTTAATTGGATGCAGACTCCAAAGAAATAGCTACAAAGGACATATGAATATAGACTAGATATTTGAATTTGGACTGGGTATTAGAAATCTGAATATGATCTAGGTCTTAGATAATGTTAGGGAATTATTCTTAATTCTTTTAGGTATAATAATAGTACTTAGTTTGTGAAAGAGTATTTTTATTTTTCTAGAGATGCGTGTGAAGTATTTGTGGGTAAAGTGTTAGGACATCTCATTTACTTTGAAATCATTCAGCAAAAAGAAAAGTGAAGTAAGTAAGGCAAGGTGTTGATAACTGTTGCATTTATGCAGTGGATACATGAATATTACTATTCTTTCTGCTTTGCTGTATATTAAATTTGTTCACAGTAGAAAGTTCAAATAACTACAAGTACAATAATATACGTATTTCATAAAAATGAAATATAATCTCATTTTTAATTTTGTTTTGAAGCTACAGGAAAGTATCAAACATCAGTAAGAAGTAAAATATTATGTTTGGGAAAGAAGTAAGGTAAGGAAATGGGGGAGTTTGAGATTATCTGTGCTGTCTTATCAAGTTACCAGCTGTTCTTTTTAAGGTCATTTCCAGAAACTGGTTTTCACTTAGACTAAATTTTTTATTGTTTTAAAAAAATTTATGCTTGATTTAGACAACCTTTCAAGAACTGGTAAATAAAAGAAGCATAGTTAAGTAATGAAAAGATAGGTTGATCAGATTACCTGGGGCTAGAAATTGAGCTTAAATGCTGAACTCATCACAGATCAGCCTATATTTCGTTTCTGCTCCCAGCAACTGCTGCTGGTGGGCACCACGCACACGGCCAACACCCCATCCCTGCAGAACCACTTGTTTCTTAAGTAGCCACCATTAGAAAGAAACTTTCAGTCCATTTACAGAAGGAAACAGGCAGGGGAGTTTCAAATGCCAGTACATAGTGTCAGAATTTTTTTTAAGTACTGAAGTTTCACTTCTGAATGATATCCAATGTGGGATTTTTCTTATTCATTAAAGGCCTCAACCACGGTGGGTGATAGACCTTTGTACCTAGGATGAGATGTCAAAGACAGACCTTCTCTAACAAAGGAAGTAGAGAATCAGAGCTGGAATAAAAGATAATTAGAAAGAGGGGAGGAGCCTGCAAAAGAAAGAGAAGCCTAATGTATAGGAGATGCTGACTCTTCAGTGTGATACCTTCCAGCTCTCAGCATAAGGAAATTGAGTTACTGCTTAGGTGCTGAATTACTGAGCCTGTCTAAATACGTTAGTTTTGCCTTCCATTTTTTAATAGTATCAAATGCCTATTAATGAATATCTATGATATATTGTCACACGGACTAAAATATTTGCTTTATTGACACAGAATTGCATTTTCTCTCTCCATAGAGCCCATGCAAGAAATCAAATTAGAATCAGAAAAGGGGTCCATGTTATACTTTTATGATACTTTATCTTCATAATAATAATCCTGAAAATGATAAGATTTTATCAATAACAAGATTCTATATTAAGAATATTTTTATGTCAGCTATCTATTATTGACATTCTAATGATTTAATATTTCTTTAACCACATATAGCAAAAATACACATGTATAACACCTAACATTTAGACAACTCAATACACAAAAAATCGCCCTTTTCATGATTGTGTTAGGTGATCTGGCATTTCCTATGATCTGAAATTAACAAATATTTATTGAGTTTGTTTAAATTATGGACCATATTGAACTGTTTATAAAAGCTTATTTAGTTTTCTAGTCCTGGCCATAGTCCAGGGCAAATTTGAAGATCATTAAGAAAAGATAAAGAAAAAAAAAGAAATTATAGATGGGGGAAGTAGAAATCATTCCTAAGTCAGAAAGTATGGATGGACGAAAGAAAACAATCATGACTGACACCAAATGGGTTTTGTTGAATAGGGACTCAGAAAGTAGTTTGGTTGGTCAAAGGGAGGTGAGACGAAGAATCAGAACAGGAATATACACCATAATAAAGTTCTTACTTCCATTGCACCTAAAAGATTTGCACTCTCTCCAATGCTTTCTTCAATGTACCTACGTTCTTCATCTGTAATAGTAGGATGTTTTGCAGGACTCTCATAAGACACCAAAAGCCAAAACATGTACCAGATCATTCCAAAGCTTCCTGCAAGGAAGAGTTCAAAAGAAGAAAATAAAAAATCTATCATAAATACCCCCATGTAACTGTCATTTGCTGGAATAAAACTGCAGGAATCTCATGACAAACACATTCTCTAGAATGTGAATTGGATTTGCTGCTTCTCCAATTGACCAGCCAGCTCTTCTTGTGTTATGTCACTGAACTTCAAGCTTCCTGAAGTCTGGTCCTATAGTTTTATCTCTTTGTCTCCAATAATGCTGAGACACAGCATTGGATAATTATTGAATGGTGTGGTTTGGAACATGTTCATACATCCAACGAACATTTACAGAGCATTTACTATTCCAGGCACTCTGCTAAGTGAGAGAAACATGGTGAACCGGACAAAATTCCTGTCTTCAAAGAATTTTATGAGGGGGGATCATTTTCTTATTTGCCTTCCCTGAATATTTGAGAGTGGTCTATATTTCTACAAAAAAGAAATACTCATTTCCCTTTCCTGTAAGCACTTCCAGATCTAGTAAACAGATTATTAAATAAAATCTAGATTATTTTAGCCTAGGTGGCTAACATTCATAAAAAAAGGCAGGAGGTGGGAGTTTTTGTAATTAATGTAGTAACATTTAACACTTTATGTGACTGTATACCATTATTATTTTCAGTACATAATATTACCTATTGATCACTCTGGGCAAATGAAAGCTATAAATTCTAATACAATAAACTGTTTGCAACTTCTTTAGCATCCCTTTCTTTATTTAGCATTCTCAGCATTAAGGCATGCCCTTATTGTGTAATGTAAATCTAAAGTATTAATAAAAGAAAGAATTTCAAGTGATTTATTTTGGTGTCCCAGAAGCTAGTTATTTCATTTTTGGCTTCTACTGTTCTTTATCCCTTGGGTAACAGTCTAAATGCTCCTGATCTCTATAATACTTTTTTCTTGCTCGTTCAATCTCTGAGAATTATTTCTTAATACCACAGATTTTGATGGGCCATGCTCCTTTTCGTTACCAAACATGACAGCAAACACAAATGGGAGTTAGTTAGTATGTGAAAATTTGGCATAGTGTAGTGATTATGGAATATGGCTCTCCCAGATGCAAATCCTGACTGTGTCACTTATTAGCTACATGCTCCAATCAATGACTGAATCTCTGTGAACTTCCACTATAAAATGAGACAATTTCTTTTTTATGAGATTGTGGCAAAGTATAGTTAAAGGAGATAATGCATGAAGCAACTAGCATGGCAAATGGCACAAAATAAGCACTCAATAAATGAAAGCTCTTGTAATTCAATAATAATTATCATTACCGCTAACTGAATGTGAAGTGCCGGACATTCAGCTAATTGCTATATATGCGTTATCTTCTTTTAACATAAGCCACTATACAGTTCTTATCTTATTAATCTTTAAAATATAAATATTGAATGTGTGGCTCCAAGACCTAATTTTTTTATACACAGTAAGTAAGCAAGCACTATGGGGATGTGATATTTTCAGATTATCTAATATTTAAACTTTGTATCATTCAATGATAAATACTAAATGAGATACAACTTGACATAATGACACTGATTTTCATGAATGCTTTGTGGAAATTAATATTCTTTTTTAAAAAAGATTTATTTATTTGTTTTGAGAGAGAGAGAGAGCATGTGCACGTGCCACATGCATGAGCAGGGGAAGGGGCAGAGGAAGGGCTGGGGGAAGAAGATTCCCGACCTGAGCAGGGAGACTGAGGCTGCTCAAGCTCATGAACCTGAGATCATGACCTGAGCCGAAACCAAGAGTCAGATGCTTAACTGACTGAGCCACCCAGGCACCCCGGGAAGTTAATATTCTTACTTTAAAGTCACATCATATTTTCAATTAAGTAATAGATTCAATTAAGGGACAAATTGGAGGATTTACTGGCCCGGTATCCCAACTTGTACTATATACCCTATACACATTTGCTTTAAACTTCTTTGAATTATGGACTCTTGAAAATCTAATGGAAGATATGGATTAAAATCTAATAAAAATATCTCCCCAGGAAACAAATGTACAGATGCATCTATGGCTTATCGTTTAGGACATTCATGAATCTAAAACCTAGCCATGGCTTTTGAACCAGAATAAGAGCTCCTGCCATAAAGCATATTTAATAATATTCTGCAAGCCTAAGAATTTGCTCTGATAAGAACATTTTGAAATGGGAATGGATCATGCCAAATTCGGAAGCAACCAGATACTGCTCAGTTCTACCTCATGACTTCATTAATATTTCACATTCTCCTGCCCACGTCTAAAGACGGTATTCATCAGTGACATCAGTTGGAATCCAGCTCTCTTATATTTCTTTTTCTCATGGCTAAAAAAAAAAAAGTCTCCTAGAGAGAGACTTTAGGGGTACTCTCAAGTGGTAAGCTTTCTGGTTCTGGTTAGAAAGTAAACAGAGAGGGACTTTGGACTCAGGGTTTCTTGTGCTTTTTATTTCCGTTTGAGGGCTTCATCTCATTTAATCCTGGAGTAACGAGGACTAAAATGTGAGGCTGCTGCAGCTGACTATTAATATTTTGTCACAAAAGCGAACTGTTGCATTAGCATTGCTATCGTCTTCCAGCTTCCCATCCCTATTCAGTCTTGACGAGGCAGGGTCAGCCGAGAAAGCAGTAGTGGGAGCTGCTTAGCTCTTTCTTCTTAATTGGCTATGAATCAAGAGCTAATTTAATTTTTTTCTTCATAATCAAGGACAATATATGAAATATATCCCAAAGTTTCCACCAGCAATGTACTTCCTTTTTAAAACAATAAATAACAAGGTAGGGAGAATCATAGAGATAGAACATTTTCCTTGATCTTCTCAAAATATAAGGAAAGGATTCTTAATGGAAAAAAATGTGAGTGAATGCAGAAGTATATTCAGTGATCTACCTCACTGTTTGAGTTTACACCCATTTCTTTTAACTTTATTGTACCGTATGCAACATACCATAGACATAGAATACCGAAGACCAACCAGTATACTGCACAAGAATGCCAGCTAAAGGCATTGCAATTACAGCTCCAGCATATGAACCTAAAGTAAAAGGGAGAATGGGAGGTAGGTAAGTGAAATAAATAGAAATTCTTAACTTCATCTCATGTTTCTTGGTAAGTTCTCGCAAACACACTTGCATACTTAGGTGCATGTACATTCATACCCCTAAATCTCCAAATACACATATATATCTCCATACATAGCCACTGATACAGGACTACATAAGAGGATATGACCTACTTACCCAAGACACAAAAGAGATCTAACAATAATAGACTATAATAGACTATAATAAAAAATAAATTAAAAAGACTGTTATAAAAATTATTCATGAATATATTTGAAAACTTAGATAAAATGGATGAACTCCTAGAAAAATGCAAAACACAGAAGAAATAGAGGATTTAAGGAGACCAATAAGAATTAAAGAAATGGAAGTGGCAGTCAAAAACCTTTCCTCATGTACACACACACAAATGATTTTACAGATGATCTTTATCAACTTTCAGTTCTTATGCAACCTGTTCCTAAACTTTTCCCTGCCATAACCGTATCTGCATGCGGTACTCACCACAGAAGGAGGTGGTTGCCAATCTACTCCTCTCTAGAGGAGGAGCCCATTTGCTCCAGATCCCATGACATGCTGGATAGGTGACGCCCTGTGACGGGGAAGATATATATCACCATTTAGGGTACAGGGTCACTGAAAAATAAGCACAGTCCCCTCTCTGATGCTGTCTCCTTAAAACTGGCCCAAGATATTAGGGAAAGCGGCTACTCATAGATCTTTACTAATTCCCTGAAATTCCACTTTAAAAACTTTCAGCCCAGATCAGATAAGACATGGCTTCCTTTTAGTGACCTGTCCAAATCCTCCCCACCCTTCAAGTCTTCCTCCTACCTCAGTTTTCTTCTGATGAAGGCAAAAGAAAAGATCCTCCATTACTCCATTCCTCTGGAACTTTGAACAGTTTGAGAAACGTGGGAGGCCTTTGCATGAGGCATTAAACACAGTGATTCCCAAATATGAGGAATCCATATAGAGGAAGATAAAGCTTAGATCCTTGAAGCTCACACTTCCTGAAAGTAGTGTCTAGAACTTAAGGCTTTTAAAATAATTATCCATTTTAGGGACGCCTGGGTGGCTCATTCGTTAAGTGTCTGCCTTCAGCTCAGGTCATGATCCCAGGGTCCTGGGATCGAGCCCCGCATCGGGCTCCCCGCTCAGCAGGAAGTCTGCCTCTCCCTCTGCCTGCTGTTCCCCCTGCTTGCGTTCCCCTCCTCGCTGTGTCTCTCTCTGTCAAATAAATACATGAAATCTTAAAAAAAAATAAAATAATTATCCATTTTATATATTTTTATCCTACCAATTTTTTCTTTCTTTTTGGAGAGAAAGGAGAATGTTTTCAGTGCTTAATACTTTATCTGATTTATCTACTCCCACTATATTTCAGGAGAAGAGAAGGGCAATAGGTAGGCCAATCTGAGGTTTTTAAATGTCCACAATAGCCAAACTATGGAAAGAGCCAAGAGGTCCAACAACAGATGAATGGATAAAGAAGATGTGGTGTATATATATATATACAATGGAATATTATGCAACCATCAAAAAACACGAAATCTTGCCATTTGCAATGACATGGATGGAACTAGAGGGTATTATGCTAAGTGAAATAAGTCAATCAGAGAAAGACATGTATCGTGTGATCTCATTGATATGAGGAATTCTTAATCTCAGGAAACAAACTGAGGGTTGCTGGAGTGATGGTGGGTGGGAGGGATGGGGTGGCTGGGTGATAGACATTGGGGAGGGTATGTGCTATGGTGAGCGCTGTGAATTGTGTAAGACTGTTGAATCACAGATCTGTACCTCTGAAACAAATAATACATTATATGTTTAAAAAAAAAAAGAAGAAGAAGATAGCAGGAAGGGAAAAATGAATGGGGCGAAATCAGAGAGGGAGACGAACCATGAGAGACGATGGACTCTGAGAAACACACTGAGGGTTCTAGAGGGGAGGGGGTGGGGGGATGGGTTAGCCTGGTGATGGGTATTAAAGAGGGAATGTATTGAATGGAGGCTGGATGTCATACGCAAACAATGAATCATGGAACACTACATCAAAAACTAACGATGCAATGTATGGTGATTAACATAACATAATAAAATTAAATTTAAAAAAAAAGTCAATCATTACAGTTACATTCCCAAAGAATTAGTCAATGAAATATTTCAGTGAAAAAAACAAATCATGATTCAAGTCTAACAAGGATTTGGTATAAATCTCGCAAAGGTATTAATTCAGGATTATCACCAGCAAAGGACAGACTCAGAAATACTCCTCACAGCACATTAACCAAAGTGCTTGTCCCCTCTTTTTTTTTTCAGTCAAATAGTCACTGAACATTTCTTTAATACCACTCAATTCTAGAGAGGGGAGGCAAGCAGTCACAGTTGTATTTTAGCATTATTTAAACACAAAGTATCTGAATGCCTAAATTTTCCAACTTTTTAAGCATACTCTGTAGTCACAACTTTATAAAATGTTCATTTATAGATCAAGTCAAAGATAATCTGCTGGTTCTGATTAACATGCCAACCTTAAGATGGCGCCATCCTGCAGTTCCATACCTCAACAAGGCCCTGCAATATCCGGACAAAGATAACACACCCATAATGCACTCTGGCTGCTGATGGGATTAGCATATTCAGAGTAGAGGTAAGAAGTATGGCAGCTCCAAAAACCCTGAAAAAGAAAAGGAGTTAATAGATCTAAATTTCTCAGGTCAAGTTAATTGAAGGCAATTTCAAGGTAGATTTTTTTCTAAAAGAATAAAATGTGTTCTGGACTTGGTTAGCCACTACAAATAGATATTTTGACTATCTTGAAATGTTACATTATTGAAGCACAAGAAATAAGAGAAAGATTCAATAAATCCAGCTATATGTACTAATATTTAGTCTCTTCATAGATCTAATTACAAATTGCAAATATTGGGATGCCTGGGTGGCTCAGTCGGTTAATTATCTGCCTTCGGCTCAGGTCATGATCCCAGGGTCCTGGATCGAGTCCCGCATTAGACTTCTTGCTCAGTGGGGAGACTGCTTCTCCCTCTGCCTGCCACTCCCCCTGGTTTATGTGCTCTGTCTCTCTCTCTGACAAATAAATAAATAAAATCTTAAAACAACAACAAAAAAAAGACAATTGCAAATATTTACCTAATCATTGTCTATGGTTTGGGTTTATATCTCAGTCTACAGTGTAAGCTGCTTTGGGGCAAGAGTGTATTTTTGTGGTCCACTGTTATATCCCTAATACAGCACAGTGCCTGACACATAGCAGATACTCACTGAAAAGTTGTCAAAAGAATAACAAATTCCTGAATGGAATTATGTCTCACATTATATGACTATTTGCAACTTCCCTAGAAGCTGCACATACATAAAAATTTTATGAATGGAATTATATTTTAAATGCCCCAAGAAATCTCATGACTAGATCCACAGCACAAGTATTTATAATGAAAATAATTATTACTTTATATATATTTTTTCTTTCTTTTTTGTGTATGTGAGTGGGGGGACTGCCTGAGGCACACCTCTAGCTGCACACATACAATGATTCAGAAAAGAATTGCTGAAAATATGGTGCTAACCCCCTCCTCCATCTGCAAGTAAAAATTCCACTTTGTTCTTAAAAAATCTCCCATAATGTTCATACTAAGTAAGAAAAATATTCCCTTAACTGGGGAACTTTAAAAATATCGTCTTGCAGAGAAGTTTGGGGACACACTATCTCTAATGAGCTAAGCTGTGTGTCTTGTGCAAGTTTTCTCCCGTCGGACTTTGAGCCTTGAATTCAGGGAAGATTGTTGCTTCATAGAGGCTCTGATTCTTCCATGGGGCCCACTTAACTGTAAGAGTTAAAGATTGGTGTTTCTGAAAGGGGCCTTGATCATTATTAATCAGCTACTGAAATTTGAGAAATGATTTTACGAAGGGCCGAAGTGGATCAGCTGTTTTTCTATGAATAATAGACCAGGTCAAATACTTTCGTTTACTTGATGTAATCTAAAACCTGCCTGTCCTCAGTGGCTTCTCACCACTGGGGTCGTCACTCAGGAGGCAAATATCCTGTTCTATTCCTCCTCTGTGCTGTTTGCTGAATAGGTATCTTTAGGTTTGAGTCAAAGAATAACTTATTTCCTAAATGTCTATCACAAAATAGAAACTTTCTATTTCTAAAAATGATTACTCCCATTAAAATGCCACACACCCCGTGACATTAAACTTCTGCCAAATATGGATTTATTTTTTCAGAAAAGAAAGGCAAAATCCCATAACCTGTCTTTATAAAATAAGAACCCAAAATGGTTATAAAAATTGATTTAAGATGTATTTTTGTTGATCATTACTTTTACGTTGAAAGAATTTTCACCTCTCTTAAAAATGCAATGCAAATGTTCTTGTATGCAAACCCCAGGACATTTTGGAGGTTTCCTTTAAGGCTGAGAGGAAATAGGAGAAATTGTATGGGGCATGTTTCCTGGACCTAGTGGTGAATGGTGCAAGTTCCCAAAGGCCGGTGAGATAAACATGTTTCTACTGTTCTGGGAGTGTGAGTGTTTTACCTGTGTAACAGAGAGGATGAAAGCAGGAAAGGCAAATGACACTGGAGTTTTGGTCATACGGGTAGCCTGTCTGGGTACTGCCAAACTCATGCTGACTGTATTTTCTGTAGATTTATCCCATGTTGCTTATGATCCTCAATAATAAAAGAGACTGACCCTGCTTCAGGCTTTAAGGATAATGAGAACCAGAGCTACATAATGCTATAGGATTTTTCAAAGTGTTTAGATGACTTATGCATCTGCCCGAATCCCTTCAAACTGTTGTCCATGAACCAGCTGCATCAGAATTCCCTGGAGTGCTTATTAAAAATGTAGATTTTCCACACCAGAGTTTCCAAATCAGACTGTGCTGGTAGTGAAGCCCGAAGAACTGTGTTTTAATAAGAAACCAGGTGATAAATTTGCATGCTAAGATTTGCAAAAAAACAAAAACAAAACAAAACACCATAAGGTTTATATCTAGGTTTATCTAACATGTGTGCCTTCCTTTCCAATAATTTCTTGCAAGTATGATGCATAAAGTTTATTTTCTATGAATATAACTTTCAACCATCACTTTCTCTGAAGGGTTTTAAGATACTGCGTCTCTATATATGCCAAAGAGAGATGAATTTTACCCATTCTGTAGCTCAACGTTTCTCAACCTCCACTCCATTGATGTTTCAGGATGGATAATTCTTTGTTGAGGGATGCTGTCCAGGGCATTGTATGTCTAGCGGCCTTTCCACATTAGAAGCCAGTAGTGTTTGCCCCCAAGTTGTAACAGCCAAAAATGTCTACAAAAATTGCAAAATGTCCTTTGGGGGACAAAATCACCCACCAGTAGAACTGAATCAATTATGAACTGTTTGTTGAGCGCCCACTAGAGTTAGTCCTAAGTCTACTAAGTTCTTCTTCAACTTGCTAGACACCATGCTAACACCTCACATGCCATAAAATCCACAACTACTTCACAACCCAGTGAGATGGATATTATTTATACACCCATTTCATAGATGAAGAAACTGAGCCTGTGATAAGTGAAATCACTTGCACAAGTTGTTCATCAGTTCCAAGTAGAAGAACCCTGGTTCAAATCTCGTCTGTCTGATTCCAAAGCTAGTGGGTTTTACTACTAGGGTTTTCATCTGATTATGCACACATGTAGTTAGTAATGTGTTTCAGGATTCTAACTGTAAATTTAAATAATAATCTTCACAAAGCTACTTGAACTCACCCTACTATTCCTGAAAGAAAACATCAATAGACCACTTTCAAAGTTTATTTTCTACTCTTGCCCTGGATAGTGTTTCTAATTATATAATCTTGTGACATATCTAAATGATTCCTACTTTTAAGTTCCTAAATTCTTTTAACTATCCCTTTTTCATTATTAGTTGCTATTGGATCATAAAAATGCATTGATTTTTTTTTCTATTTAAGAATGAAATCTATCAGGGGCGCCTGGGTGGCTCAGTCGTTAAGCGTCTGCCTTCGGCTCAGGTCATGATCTCAGGGTCCTGGGATCGAGTCCCACATTGGGCTCCCTGCTCTGTGGGAAGCCTGCTTCTCCCTCTCTTACTCCCCCTGCTTGTGTTCCTGCTCTCACTATCTCTTCCTCTGTCAAATAAATAAAACCTTAAAAAAAGAATGAATGAAATCTATCAGACTTTTCAGAACCTCATCTTCTTTTTAAAATTTCATATCATTGTTATCCAACTCAATACCCAGGTAATTGAAATTCTGATTATCAAAATTCTTGCCCAGTATGGGAAGCCTTCACACTTTCTCTTGCTGTGCTACACACAGCCAGAATTAAAGCAGCCACTTCATTCAACATTCATTTATGCATTCACACTCCAATTCTTTGTGAGCCTATATTTAGAATAGGGTACAGTGCTGAGAAGGAAAAGGTTGCTAAAACCTACCGAGTGCTTACTATACACGCTTCACCTACATTAATTCATTTAATCCTCACAACTACTCTCTGAGCCACACATTCATCTCATTTTACAAATAGGAAACTGGAGACAATGATTGTGTAAGACAAAAGCAAGCAGTAAAGTGGAGACTGGAATCCAGGCTCTCTGACATGAAAATCTGTGCTCTTTCACCGATACGATGCTATTAGGCACTCAGGGGAAAAGTTAAAGATGGCCCAGGATATAGTAGGAGAAAGGAAGGGAGAGACAAGTAGCAAGAGACAACTTAAACCAAAGGTCATAATAAGAGTACAAATGAAAAGCAAAAGAGGGAAAAATCCATTCCAGCTGGGGTGACCAAGAAGTGAGCCCTTCATAGGGAAACTTCCACGTTGGGTCTTGGAAGATGATTGTTAAAAAACAAACAAACAAAAAGAAGGAAGAAATTCCAAAAAGAGGAAAGGGATTGGCAAAGGTTCAAAAAATGGAAGAGATTTCATTCTGTATCAGAAACTAGGTCAGTATTTAAAATGGCTGGACATGGTGGTACCCAGGACCCTGAGTAACAGAAGTAAGACCATCAAGAGTGAAATTATGAACAAGGATGGCGTGAGGAGGGTGTGAGGAAATACAGACTGAACAAAGAGGGGAAGAGCAAAGTCTTGTAAGTCCATGGCATCCTGGAGACGATGCAACTTAGAGTGATTGTAGCGGGTAAACAATGATTAAGCCCTTAAGGTGAAGTAAACACGAAGCTTACTAGAATTAAGGACAGAGGGATCTATGAGGCCAGGGAGACAGAAAGTGATCAGGATCCATGTAAATTTAGGCAAGATCCTGACTTGCAGAGGAGCAAGGTGCCAAAGTCACCAATGGTGGTAGAGGGGGAGAAAGTGACCTAAATATGGTACAGAAATTTTTATTAAGACCCTAGCTTCGTCCCTTAATAACTGCATGACTGGAAAATTACTTAACATATCTAGGCTTCTGATTCCTTGTCTATAAAAAGGGCAGAGCCATGTAATGGTCAAGAGCATGGATTCTAAGGTTGGCTGCCTGACTTCAAAGTTCATTTCTATCATCTATTACTTGAGTGATCTTGAGCAGTTTATTTAACTATGCTTCATTCCTTGTCTACAAAATGAGGATATTAACAGAACCTATGTGTTTTTATAAGTAAAGCATCTAGAAGAATGCCTGGCATATCCTAAGCA